TATATATATATATATATATATATATACACATATACATATACATATACATATACATATACATATACATATACATACACACATATGTACATGTATGTTTGCACACATACAAAATTTTCACTTCTGGAAGTTCTACTCACAATCCTTTTGACTCCATGATGGAATAAAAGTAAGACACATTCATGAGAAGCTATTCTTCTGGTTTTAGCTTTTTATATTATCCTAGGCTGAGCACAAGGGGATGCCTGTGGCACTTTTCTTGTGATGCTAGGCAGTGACATCAAGCTGTAGCTCCAGCTTGAGAACATGAGGGAAACAACTGGTACATCAAACTGACCCATGTTGCTAAGTTATGATGTTTGCTAAGCCTGGTATGGTTGATGCATTTTGATTTATTATGTTTTTACTTACTTTGGAATTATTGGGATATAATACCATTGTTAGTTGAGGAATATATTTCCCCTTCCTGAATGTGGGGTGTGTGTGTGTGTGTGTGTGTGTGTGTGTGTGTGTCTGTGTGATTTCCTCATTATTACAAAGTTTGAGAGAAATTATAATATGCCATTTGCAAACTGAAGAACAAGGAAAAAGGGTTGAGGAGGAGGTGCAAGTATAAATCCTACTTGGATTTCAAAGGCTGATGTCCAGGGTAAGGAGACAATGGACATTCTAGCCCTAATAAAGATAATGCGATGACTCCTCCACCACACTTTTGTTCTGTTTGGTCCTCCATAGCTTAGGCCTAGATGCCCGTATCACTGTTGAGCTCCCTTATTTATTCTGTTGGTTCAGATGCTATTCTATTCTAGATATACCTCGTGCTCTGAGAACCACTCAGTCCATTGAGACTGACATAAAATAGCCGTCACCCTGGCATCTCACACCAGTCCTGCCAGCACCACATCAGACCCTAGAGACATTTATTTCCTCTCTCATCTAATGGACGGCTATCTCATAGCTGGCATCTTATAATTTTGCCACAATCATTTTCTCAGTACTGGAAGCCATAATGCTTTCTTCTTCAGCCATTTCTATGTCATATTCCTCATTTAACAACTGGTTATTGCATCTTAATGACCAGTGTGTGGGAGGTCGTGAGTGGTGCTTTTCTTTCAATGATTCTTTGTTCTGCCTATCCCTTAAATCCTGACATCTCCTTGGGTTCCATATTTAGACTAAAATCCTCCCCATTCATTCATAGAACATTCCCTTCACTCCATAAGTTCTCCCTAGGGCTACTGCCTTGGAATGTGAAGGTTGTCAACTGCACAAGTTCAGGGAACTTGAGTGTGGAGTTGAGTGATGAGATGATGGCTTCTACTTTGCCTGAGAAGTGCTACCACTGCACTGCTAAGCAGAGTCCAGATCTGTGTCACCAGGGTCTCTCTCAGTCTTGAACACTAGACACAGTCTTGCTATCCTTCCCTCCCTTCCCTCCTGTTCTTTTCTTAGCTCTCTTCTCTCTTTCCTTTTTTATTGAGGTAGTACTTACATTTACATACAAGAAAGTATGTCAAGAGCATTGCCATCATCACTTTAGGCTGCCATAACAACATCATTGACAAGGTTGGTACTTTAAGTGATGCACTTTTTTTTTTTTTTTTTTTTTTTTTTTATAACTCTGGAGACTGGGAACTATAAGATCAAGGTATTGGCTGATTCAGCTTGAGGTGAGTGCCC